TATGTGTTCCACTCCTTAATGGATGAAACACATATTGTGGGCCATGTCGATCTCGTTAGACATACGTTTTATTACTTGACTACCGAGCTTCATCTTATAGGCTTGAGAGTCAAGGTGACATGATCTCCTTTAGGCATTACTCATCATCTCTAACTTTTAGAGGGATGTATGACATCGTAATACGACTTACACATTCTAGGAGTGCCTGATGTTCAGAGGACTTTGTCTCATACTACATAGACACGTTACTTGCCAATGATGTACTACATGTAAATGAACTTCCTCTAATAGAGGTTTGGCAGATAGTGTTTGATATATTCACCTCTAGTATTGCTCGTTGATCCACCTATCTGCTTCTCACAGTTCCTCCTTCACATTCATATGACGTTTGAAAACCTTTGATAGGAGCATCATATGCGTCTTTGGTGACATCATCGGATTGGTATCCTTTGAGTGTGTGATATGAGACTTGACACAAATACATACATCTTTGTCGATTTTGTGTGGAGGGATAGATTTATTATAGATGGAGGAAATGATAGTTTTAGTATTTTTGACTAGTTGGGCACTCTTGATAATTTTGTTATCTTCCTTATTTGAAATTGCATATAGGGCTATACTTCAGATGTATGTGAGGGATGTGGATGGAGGGTCATTTCCTTTACATATACTACTACGACAAATGAGAGATACTTTAATCTTGAAGGTTTCCAAGTTTTTCCTCTTTGTCCTTCTATTGAACTAGAGACATACATTCTACCTTGATTGTAAAAGACCGTACGAAAGGAATGAGACTCACATTGATTGATGCACGTGACACATTATTAAAGGCATTCTCAATGTCCATCTGCAAGACAATCCAATCCAGATGGATATTTAGGAATGCTCTAATGTCCAACAATACCGCCTCACAACCTTCTTGTGTGGTGACACCAAACTAGCATGAACAAAGATGTTGTTGGAAGTGGGAACGATGATGCATGACCATGGTACGACTAACAAGGCACAATAAAACCTCCCCAATAGCAATTAGTCTAATGCATCTTGTGTCCTTTTCTATCTCGAGTAGCTAATTAGCACCTTGTACCTAACTAACTAACAATTGGATCTCTCCTCTCGCAACTGATGCAGCCACCTTGAACAACTCCTCAATAATGTTAAGTGTTGCTCTTGTAGTATGTATACAGTTTGACATAGATGGTTTGGATATCTTAGGTGCCATATGACATATTTCCCATTGTGAGCCTTCTAGTACCAACTCCATCTTTCTCCTTTGGTTTCATCGATATACTACTTGCTGAAATCTTTCCATCTTTTTTTATATATATTTCTTATTTCAAGTAGAAGGCTTCCTTCTAGAGGGATGTTAATAGACATTGCAAAGGAAGATGCATGGAATAGTAGAGTGATGCAACCACATCGACAAAGCTACAAAAGAAAACTCAAAGAAAAAATGAGAGAACTAATATTTCTCGTGATGAATCATTATGTGTCTAGCTGGGCCTTTGATGTCTCCAACATGCATATAGTCTGACATGAGTTCAATAACAAGCATCACCAATCAAAGATATCTTTCTCTTTATGCCTATTGCTAAAACACATTGTCATGCAATGCACATATCTTGTGTAAAATACTGGATGTAATGAGACAATGATAAATGTGCACCAATACGTCTATCATGATAAAGCCAAATACACTCTCTAGCAAAGTTGTCCATATCTTGTCCATGTGCTCTATGCATCCCCAAGGCAAGTAGAATGAAGATATATCCTTCATATAGTCCTCAAAACTTACAAATCTTAATGATAGTGCTAATCTCTACAGCTTCTCCAGCATGACATCTCATGAAATCTATGGCAATAGTGTGTCGAGTGAGATCAGTAACCACAACAACTCGATCCTTTGTAGACATGTAAAAATCAGCACATACAGTTATCCTATGTGATGGTGTATCATTGCTCTCCCAACACTACATGACTACTCTCTCAAGCAATGTCATAAATGACATCACGAATGATATCATGTGTAGCAATCCTCTTAAACATTGAACGTTGTAATTCAAACTCTCCAAACATTGCATGCAACGCCAAAAACATGCACTGTTCACTCCTATTCATACTCGTTTCCCTCCAAATATGCACAGCCAAAGAAATATTACACATCTGCACAGCCAAGATAGACACAATCAGAGCAATTGATAATTGAAGTTATGATTGATCATGCCTATGACGCGTTGGCATGTTGGAGCTTGGAAGATTCTTCCTACACATTTATTTATCAAAGTATATAAAGTACAAAGTATAATAACAAAAGGGATGGGAAGACCCCATCAAAGCGTACAAGGATGGAACCAAACCGGTAACATGGGGCTAGGCCCCAATAGTATCACACTGGGAAATATGTCACCTAAGATATCTGAACTATCTAGGTCAAAGGGTCTACAAACAACATGAGCATCCGAAGAAGCATCACCTAACGTGATTGCTCTCCTATGGATTGCACCAGCTAGTGCTCTCTGTAGAGCAATGGAAACATGTTGCCTAAAATAGGCTATACAGTAAGCTAAAGAGAGTGATACCCCATGTCGCCTAGTATGGTAGGCTTTCGCACACTCCCTCACGAACATGTCGAAGTCGGTGTCCATAGCTCCATATAACTCCAAAGCTAGAGGAACAAAGAGATGATCTCTATGCATACCTCTATACTTGGAGACCTTGGCTGCTGCCACTCCACTTGCCGCCCATCCTGGAGGATGGATGATCACCCCCTCTGAAACGGTGTCTCTAGTAGGATCGGTAACCACCACATCTGCCACAGTGATGTGGTCCTCCCAAACCAAACAGTTTGTCGAAGGAGCAAGCAATGATGCAGAAGCAGCAGCTCCCCACCCAAGAGAGCATGGAGTTTTACAGTCCAGTAAAGCTAGTGCAATGCGAGATTCTATTTACGGGATGAAATGTGCCCACTTAGATTTTTCTATTTTGTCTTTTTTTTCAAGAAAGGGGACGCATAGAATAAAAACCCGGTGGTTTCAAAAGGCTGTTTCAAGAGGCAAACAAAGGGTAGAGAGTACCCAGCCCCAGGACCAAAAGAAATGGAGACTGCTATTATCTCTCGTCATAGTGGCTTATATTTACAATATGATAAAAAAAGTATATATCCTTATTATTATTATTAAAATAATAAATCTTATACTATCAGATTCATAAATCGTATATGTATATCATCGGATTAATTAGTTTTTATTAAATAAGAAGGAGGCTATGTATGAATTCAAAAATTTGTCCAAAGTAGCCCATCCGTTGGGAGGATCTTTGGTTTATTATTGGCTTCAAATGATCGAATTCTACCCGTTGATGAATCATTCTAAAAGAAATAATTGAAGTAATGATAGTATTTTTTTGGAAATTAATAAACAGAATTAAATCAATATGCTTAGAATATCCATGCAAATCCTAACATAAAAAAATATGTCTCTACAAAATGATGAATAAGAATAATAATATTGTTAGTAGACAATTTTATTTTTTTGCATTTTATATATCTACTGTACAACTTACATCCAATTGCTGTACTCAGATCTTTGAGTCCGTTTCTTATTCTTTGAGCTTTCTCGTCTACTACGTTACGAATTCTTCTATCCTCTGGCTTGCTATAAACTGAACAATTATGAACAAGATGGATTCTCACGAGTGTCAAAGACGTCACATGTGTAAAAAATATCCATAGAAAACATACTTTGCACATCCTCATCAGTTTTTATAAAATTATATATATTTAGATTATAAAAAATAATGTAAATAAAAAAATAAGTAAATATATTAATAAAAATTATATTTTTCTATGAAAGTTTCTTTACATCACATAAAAAATTGATATAATAATATTATATACATATCTATACATTATAGAAATAAAATTAAATCAACACATTCATAAATTTATATAATTAATTATTTTTATGATATCAAAAAACAAAAATAATTTTTTTTTAAATTAAGTTGTTTAAATTTTTGTATAGTTTTTTGAAGATATATCATATATCGTACATGTATCAAGAAAATATAACTATTCCAATTTAGCACATATAAAATAATCTTTGACACAATGAGGTGAAATAATTGATATGGATTATGTATATGACATTTGGCACTAACATTTGAGCGTATTTTGATTATAATTCAAACAAAAAACATGTTTATAGATTAATGATATCACATTATCATATATGTATATTATTTAAAAATCCACATTCATGATATATTAAGTATTTTCTTTGAAAATTACTATCTTTGTAGTATCCTCAAAGTCATCTTTTAGTTCTGGAATTCTTTTTATATTGTTTATTTTTTATCAAAATGTCAAAAGTAATTCTTTCATAAGATCGAATGAAAAATATGTGTTTTGAAGAATTATTGCCACTTATTTGAATATATATTAAAAAAATTATTAAGTTATGAATTCTGGTAGAATATTGATCGAATTCGTTTTCAAAAGAGGACTTCATTGTATTTGTAAATAAAAAATTTGATGAAAATTTGTATAGAAATCATCTTTAATAAAATCCTGATGCTGAAATTTAAAAATAGTTCCTTAACCATTAGTATGCCGCATTTTTTAGTAATTTCTTATAAGTAGAAAAAAGAAATGTTAGTTTAAGCATTCAAATCATCAAACCCACTCAAAAGATACACTTTTATGCTATTAATCACACGAACAGAGAATGCTTTAATTCACAAAGATTCAACTTATTATGGCTGTCCACTCAGTGAAGAAACAAAAGAAAGAAAAGAAAAGTGAGAGTTTGTAATTCTCTCAAAAATAAAGAAAAGGGAGATTTGAACTGAGGGCTTTGTTCTACACTTCGCTAATTCTAACCGTGCTCACATTCCCAATGTTTTAACAACTAACCAAATGCATCACTGCTCGCGATATGCTAAAATCATGTAGTCGTATGCGAAGGCGCCGATGGGGAAGTAGGCATAGTGTAGAACATTAGCATATGATTCCTGGTTCGAACCGGAGTTTTCTTGTGAGTGAGACTAGAGTGATGACCAACTATACCAACCAGACTATCTAATAATTCAATATTCATTTTAAAATATCATAATAGCTCATCTATGGGATACTCTTTTTTTCTTGTTACTTTTTCTTAGAAAAGGAAACCGGATAGCTGATAAATAGGTCGACTGGCAGGTATGAGGGGCAGATCACCTTCTCGGGATTACTTGGCACACGTAGTCTTAGTCCCGTATTCTCGTATTAAGTTCTGTTCAGGTACAGCATTCAGATTTAGTTGTACTCTACACGGACATTTTCGCATGGAAATGCGGCAAAAGTTGTAATATATGTAAATTGTACTTGAGTATCGTTCTCTTCAAAAATCGCGTCCTGTTTCAGGTGAATACAAACGGAACAGGGAAGGACAAAGGGAGTATGGCCACGGTTACCCACGTTACACAGTTGCCTATTTACAATGATTCCAAACTAAGCGCAAAGACGGGCAGGAACTCGATAACGTGAATGAAATCGGATTGACGTATAGTAAAATGGGATAGAGAGGCCAGTGAGGAGAGAGTTTCAGATAGAGTACGTACGGGTTGACATGAGCTCAAGTTGCTTCCAGGTACTAAAGCGTAATTCGACTGTCACTGGCCCTACCGACCCTCTGAGCAAGTATAATGGTGGATGTATGATCTGACTCGTCAAAGCCTTGGCCATTAACCCTTTCCTAGTCAAGAGCGTATGATGTCCTGAATCGAGCCTCGTTCTGCGGCAACCAGCATATCGACACGCCATGACTCATGAGTATTTATGAATTTTAGTTGGTATCATGGGTAAGCCAGTCATTTAACCTAAAGTTATGACACCCTACCATCATTTGTTCTAGAGGACCAAGGGCAGCATAGAATTAGAAATCTGGTGTCAGTCCACGACGGGATTGCACTTGTTTCGCCTCCTTGTGAATCGGTGGTCTTTGATCGGCATTTCGGACGATCGTGTGGTGGACGTAACCAAGTAAACAGGAACCTGCAATTCTTGGCAACTTTGAAGAACGTGTAAACTGAAATGGAGGACGGTACATGCGATGGTGTGTGTGCTGGCACAGATTCACCTCAATTTCATGAGGACACATGTCGTCCTGACTTTTCCAAATGTGCGAAGATTTCCAAACACCAAGACTTGAAGAAAATTTATACCCTGGGCTGAGATATAATGGTCACAACAACTTCAGCAGCAAACTAGAGTACGAGATAAGTTCATTGGGCAGAATTATAGATTTCTGAGCATATCCCCTTCCACGGTTACAAATAAGCAATGTGTTTTTCAGCTTTAATGTGCTGTTCCGCGAGTGGAGGGTTCTTCTTGCTATACTTCTTTTCAAATAACTCGTAAAATTCATGAAGTTGTGACTGTCAGAGAAAATGATTTCACTTACATATGTAACATATATCTGGAATCGGATGTGCGATCACACATTACATCAATAGACGAAGGAATTATCAGCTGGGTATCAGCTGGAATAATCAGCTGAGTATATGAAGTTACCAGCTTTTCGTAGACAAGAACTACAGTTTACCAAATCTTAAATCCAACCATCGAAGGAGACCTTACACATGCAGTAGCTTTGGATCCAAACATCACTCTAGGACAAATTTGGTCTGCTTATGCTGAAGAATAAGAGCAAAATTTCACCTGAAAGTGTGACAAAGTGTGTCCGAAAATGATTGCGGAATGACTTGAGCCGCAGGTCAAAGATGCATGAACCTCTCGCAATATTTTTCACATTCTGGTAATAAAATATATAAAGAGAAACATGTCACGACAGTCTTCTGGTTTACATGAAGTGCATGCTATGCCCCTTGTTATGGGGACAAAGTATAACAACAAAAGGGATGGGAAGATCCCATTAAAGCCAACAATGATAGAACCAAACCAGTAACATGGGGCTAGCCCCAATAGTATCACACTGGGAAATATGTTAGGGTCAAACGGTCTACAAACACCAGGAGCATCTCAAGAAGCATCACCTAACGTGATTGGTCTCCTATGGATTGCACCAGATAGTGCTCTTTGTAGAACAATGGAAACACGTTACCTAAAATAGGCTATACAGTAAGCTAAAGATATTGATACCCCATGTCACCTAGTATGGTAGGCTCTGGTGACCTACTTCACGAACATATCCAAGTCGGTGTCTATAGCTCCATATAACTCCAAAGTTAGAGGAACAAAGAAGTGACCTCTCTACATACCTTTATACTTGGAGACCTTGTTTGTTGCCGCTCCACTCACCGCCCATGCTGGAGGATGGGCGGTGACTTCGTCCACTCCCCTTGTTATTAAGTTGAGTATATTACTTGGTGTCCCCTGTTTTTAAGTTATCCCTTTCGGAAGATGAATCTTTGTTCCGATATCTTTCCCTGTTGTTTGGCTAGAAAACGACCTACTTGCATGTAGCCATGTCAAAACCTAATGCTTGAAATCCTGAAGAACGGGATGTTGAGGGCATTGAATACCATAAAAGATAAGGTTTTTTAATTGTGTGAGGTTCAGAATTCCCACAATGTGTATTGCTTTAGACAATTGTTGTAAACAAACCTTTGTGTGCAAGATTAAATATAATATACGGAAAACACACAAAAATGAATAAGAAAAAAACATTCATAAAAATGATCAAGTTTTTTGCTCGGTTGCATTCTCATAGAGATATTGTCTCATAGAGGAAGAGCTCGAGTTGGGTAGCCATTTTGGAAATAAGTTGCGCAACAAACGGATTGTTGAATTGAAGCATGGAGTACAAGAATAATTTTCTATTATTTCCTTCATGAATATGAGCCACATGCAAGACTATTTCCTCTTTACGCCTTCTACATCCTTCCATAGACGAGGAATTACCATTAGAGGTCTTGGAGTATCAGCCAGAGGAGCCATTATGTCTTGATAGATCATTATTTGCTCATTCTCCATGCACAACCCCACGTTTATCCTCTGAGGATTTGTCAGGGATAGTATATGAGATTGCTTTCAGGCGGATGATCCCTCTAGTGGTTTCACGGAGTTGTTCCAGTGGTTGTATCAGTTGCGAGAGGGGAGATTCCGTTGTCAGTTAGTCAGGCTCTGGGTGCTAGTCGACTTCTCGCGATGGAGAAGGACACTCGGGGCATCAGACCGATTGCTATTGGAGAGGTCTTATTGCGATTAGTCAGCCGTACCGTTGTCTTGCAGCATTGCTCATACTTCTAGGAGCATCTTTGTCCACATCAGTTTGGAGTTGCCACACCATGAGGTTGTGAGGCAGTATCGTTGGGCATTAGAGCACTTCTAAATATCCATCCAGATTGGGTTGTCTTGCATGTGGACGTTGAGAACGCTTTTAATAGTATCTCACTTGCATCCATTTTTAGAGAGCTTAGAGAGGCTGGTGGGCCTCTATCAAGACTCATTCCTTTCGTACGATCTTTCTACGGTTCACATTCTTCTTTATTTTATCAACATGGGTTTTCCGAGGAGGGAGTCACCGTTCTACAGTCTACCGTTGGCACTTGACAGGGAGATCCTTTGGGAGGACCCTTATTTGCCATGGCTCATTATAGAGCTCTTCTGTCTACTGCTTTGGCCGTGTCCGGTTGTGTGTTCCCCTCCTTAGTGGATGATACACACATTGTTGTGGGCCTGTGAGACAAAGATTACGCAGGCCTTTGATTACTTGACTACTGAGCTTCATCTTGTAGGCTTGAGAGTCAAGATATCAAAGTGCATGGCTTGGTCTCCTTTGGGCATTCCACCTCATCTTCAACTTCCAGAGGGGTGTTTGATATCAACAGATGGCTTACGTATTTTAGGAGTGCCAGTAGGGTCTGAGAATTTTGTTTCACGCTACCTTGACGTTGCATTGGCCAAGGATGTTTTGCATATAGACGGCCTTCCTCTACTAAGGGATCTGTAGGTGGCGTTTGATATACTATCATCTAATATTACTCATCGACCCACCTATCTTCTTTGCACAGTTCCTCCTTCACCTACATTCATATCACATTTGACTTCCTTTGATAGGAGGATCATGGACGTCTTTGGTGACATCATCGGACCAGGGACATTCGAGTGTATGATGGAGATTTGGCAAGGAGATAAACATCTTTGCCAATTTTGTGTGGAGGGGTAGGTCTATTATCGATGGAGGAAACGGCACTTGCGGCATTCTTGGTGAGTTGGGCGCTCGTTGCACCTTTGTTATCTTCTCGATTTATGATCGCTGATAGACCTATTTTAGAGATATATATGAGGGACATTTATACGTGATCATTTCCCTTACAGGTATTATTATGACATACGAGAGACGCTTTACCACGGGAGGTACGACATGAGTTCCCATCTTTTTCCTCTGGCTATCGATTGGACTAGGGGTCTATAGTCTATCTTGATGGACTGATAGTTTCAGGAGGCTCTACATTCACTCATAGTGGATCCGGCCATTCCTTGTACTACTAGAGCTCGTCTACGCTCTTGCTCCGGCAAGGGTGCAGGCTCGTGGATCTTGGCTCGACCATGCATCAGGGCTTTCCGACTCGCACTGCCTACTTTCTCCACAAATGATGAGGTTCCGTCTTGGCTTGGTCCATCCATCTACATCTTCATTACTCACATGTGAGTGTGGTATCACTTTAGATGCAACAGCTGTTCATATGACTCGTTGTCCATTCGGAGGGCAGAGGATAGCTACCAATGATGCCATTAGGGATGTGGTGTTTGCTATGGCACGAGAGGGTGGATACCTCACATGGAGAGAGCGTCAGTATGCCTTGTAGTCGACTAGGGTTAGAACAGACCTGTACTTAGTTCGGGAGGACCAGGTCACTATGGCTGATGTGGTGGTTACCAATCCTACTAGAGACACAGTTTCAGAGGGGGTGATCACCCGTCCTCCAGGATGGGTGGCGAGTGGAGCAACAACAGCCAAGGTCTCCAAGTATAGAGGTATGCAGAGAGCTCACCTCTTTGTTCCTCTAGCTTTGGAGTTATATGGAGCTATGGACACCGACTTCAACATGTTTGTGAGGGAGTGCGCGACA